CATTAGAGTGGCAACAAAAAGTGTCGTCGGCGCGAAACCAAATTTGAAGCAAAACATAAATCACAATTTGACAGGTTGAGCTCAACCCTACACAGCGAGCCGCGTTACATTTAGTCCGGCTTCTTCAGCGGTCAAATAGCACCCTTATTGAAATCGTTCTAAAGAGCCTCCGCGCCATATTGTCTAGCGATCCATCATGCGACTGTCAGATGTTATTGTTACGGAAATCTATATAGTAGGCTGCGATTGTTGTGTCACAGCCGACTACTGTGTGAGCACGCATAATTGCCCAAACTTTAAAATCGGGGCTTAAATTGGCTTTGTGCGAATGAATATTTTATTTTTCAGCGACTATTAAAGAATTCGGCGATCAATTTCAAAGTCGAGCGAGTATTCAAATGAAGAAAAAGAATGATGTGTTGTGCAAATACGGTATCTGTTGCTGGCAAGGATTCCTGACGGTGGTTATCAGAAAGCGGCACTCGGGCCAACTGTCTCCTGATCGAGATGATTAATGGCGAAGCACGGATATATTAGTCCAAGGATTGCACATTTCACACTTCGGATTCTAAACTGTTTAGATTATCTACGACGGCCCCCTATTTACACACGTTACGTGCCGTGATAGATAAATATGTGTAATTATACCGAAAACCGTATTCGGAATTTGAAGGTGATAACTGGCGCATCCACCAATTTTCACACGAAAGTTTGGGCCAAGTTGAAGAGTTTATTTTGGCTTTATAAGGTTAAAATGGTCAACAAAGACTTCATGCACAAAGAAAAGAGTGCTTATAATGAACAGCGTTTGAGAATATTGGGTCGTAACAGTTGTCGATCGATGGGTTCAAATTGCTTTTGTTACACTTAATTTGGTTTGGAAAAATAAAATCACTGGCAAAGAAAAAACGTTATTACGACTCAAGACAAACAATTTTAGGTGTTATTTGCACTTCTTCACGTTATTAAGGGTGCTTTGCTTTTTTACCCGTTTTTATTTCTTGTGAATGTAAAATGTGCATAAACAATGCTATTGTATTATTAAAACTAACAGAAATAAAAAAATGACGAAATTATAACGGTTTTAAATTTTTATACATTTTAATGAAAACAATGCAAAAATGTACAGAAAATTAAAAAACAATGTTTAGCATAGCTATAAAGGGTGAACAAAAAGTATGGAAGTTCTTTTAAATCATTTTCCTTTAGAAAATTTGATTTTGTTTATGACTTTTTTTAAATGGCAACTTTGTTAAAAATTGTATGAAATGTAGGTGTTTTTTTAGAAATCCTTCATTTAGGCTTTGTAAAAAAACAGGTTGCCAATTTCAAACAATTAAAAATTGTGTAAAATTTAAAATCAAAAGGAAACTCGAATTATTTTTATTTTTTAGTATCATTTATTAATTAAAAAATTGAAACGTTAGGTATCATAAGGATACTTTCTGTTTACCTCTGGTATGTGGGGAGCAACTCTACCAAACTATAGGTAATACGAGTATCAACTATAAGTTGATATGTTCAAAAAACTTGCGTAAAGCAAATGTATACTTTATTTTTGATTTTTTATTATTATTTTGATAACAAAAAGTAGAAAAAACAGAAAACATTATCAATTTTTGGTATTAGATACTTATTATAAGTATAAGTAAGCTACGTCAAACGTTTTGCAAAAACCCACCACATATAAAAGTCCAAAAGTCCTGAAGTTTCTAGAATTTTTCGACTTAATGAAACTGTCTCTAATATCAAAATTACAAAACTAGAAATGCAAAGATAATGTAGAATGTAAAAAAAAAATTTGCAAAATTTGTATTAGAATCTTTGTTTTGAGTTGGAAACGTACAAGTTTAACAATTTATTAAAAAAAATTTTGACGCAACGGAAATTCTTTTTCGGTAGCTTTAATTTTTATATTATGGTCTTTGAGCAAAGAAAATGTTGTACAACTTAAAAACAAAAGTATATTTCGAAGAATTTTATTTTTTAAACTCAATCATCTTTTTATACCTAGTGCTTTAAAATGGACTAGATATTTTTTTCGAAAAGTAAGTAGTTTTAGCAAAAAATGCTTGATTTTATACTATTTGTTTATACTGTATAGAAAAAATCTGAGACATATTCCGGAGCCCCAGTGGCTCAGGGTACGTATAGCAAACATGTTAAAAAATACTAAAACGTAAAGAAAATAATATAAACAAAAAGTAATTGCGTAAATTTGTAAAAATAGAACCACAGTCGAAGTTAAGAATGCAATCTTATGAAAAGTAAAATATAAAAACATAAAACATTAATCAAAAAGTAGAATAAAAACACTTAAAGACGTAAACGTAGATAGCAACAAACACGTAAGCATAAAGCGTTAGAATATAAGATAATTTTTTCTTTATGCTGTAGAGTGTAGAGAAAAACGAAATAGCATATTAAAAGTATCGCAAACATTAAAATAAAGAGTAGACTAAAACTAGATACAACCAACCATGCGCAAATATTTTATTATTTCGAAGCTTTATTTCTAATTTTGTAGATGGTTTTTAAATGTTTTTCAAAATATTTTACAATCTACGTGTGTCAGAACTCGCGCCTCAGAGAAAAATTTCAAGTAAGATACCAAGAACATGGAAAAAATGTTTAAAAAATTCTATTTGTCAAGAAATTTTGACATTTATTTTTTGACATTTGACATATTTTTATGTCTATTTAATGATACTGATGATCTTGTATAGGTATGTTTTTTACAATTATTTACTAAAGGTACAAAAATTTTGCCAATAAAAGCCACAAATAACATTAAACAGAGTTACAATTTGGGATATAGCTTCCTTGATCCGTCTTCGATACTGGCGGACACGGAATTTTGGACATCAAATTTATTACAGTTCAGAAAATGTCAATGTAAGACACGCTTTATTGTCATTATGATTGACGTTGGAAACTAAAATTTGAAGGTTTTAGTTAAAATTTATTTTTGGCATCGATTTTCCAAAACAATAATGCCAGCAATACGTGTTTTTATACTTATAAGATAAATAAATTATTTTGATTTGTTGTCATTTTTTCTCTCGCTCTCAGGATAAAAATTACAAAAACAGAATGTGAGTTAGTTGCCTAAGCCCGGTTTTATAATTTTATGTCAGTCGAATGACAAATCGTCCAAAATTCCGTGTCCGCCAGTGTAATAGCCTGTAGCAAAAAAACTTGGAAAATTATTTTTCCAATAGAAATAAATAGAGTCAAAGTGTAACTTCAAAAATTTTATAGGTAACATTTTTTTCATGTTTCTGGTATCTTACATAGCAATTTTTTCTATAGGGCACGAGTTCTGGCGCACCCTGTAAAAGAATATTTTAAGCATTTGTAACCTGTCTTTTGACTCTCTTTCTTTAAATAAAAATTATTGAAAAATAAAAAACAAAAAAACAACAAAACAAGATTAAAAGAGCTTGATTAAAATAATAGAAATAAAACAATTGGTAATAATTTTTTGTCGACAATCTTTATTAGTTAGTGATTAGTATAGATAGATTATGATTAAATCTATTCTTTGTTGTTTGAATACATTATAATCGTTTTTCTGAAAACTAACATAAAATAAACGATTTGTAATTGTAAATGCATTTTGGAGTGTGCGTATCTACGCTAGGCGTAAGCTTCGTAATAAAATTACGCGAAACATGTAGGAGTTACAATACTGTCAGTATTAATAATTCAGTATTTTTAATATAAATTAATAAGACTTATTACTGGTTTTAGTTTTTTGATTTTTATTTCATTTTCTAAATAATTTTATCTAATTAGGTAAAACGGGTATTCTTATTTATAAAGCGATTCTTCTTTAAACTTGGTTGAAACCACTATGTATGTGTCCAGTCCACATGACCTTAATTTGAGTTTATCCACATGTGCAGGTAACGTTTCGTCCTGGCAAATTTGTCCAGAGCTTAATATTTGTCTTTTTTAATAAAGTGAACGATGATCCATTAAAAAAAAAGCGTTGAATAAAATCCCTGTGCGAGTTTAGATTTATTCGAATAAATTTAGATAAATGGTGTAAATTTTCCAGCGACGTGGCTTGCTATTTCTCTAGCGCTTCGGTTTTAAATGAAATGGAAAAGCTTCTAGGAGGATGATCATGTAGACGTGCTATAATAAGGTGTATCCGGCATTTTGCATATTGACTTAGATGTCGGAAACGAAACGCACCACGGCTGCTGGACGCCGATAAGACCAAGTCGCGGGGTTGCAATCGATTAGCCTTATATTTCCTCACCCGATCACCCCTTACTCCACAGGCGACCGTTTGCATACGGGATTTGTTCAACTATCTTACCGCACAATGGGGCCATATACCGGATATGTGCAGTGCTCTCGCTCTTTTAATAATACGCCGAAAGAGCAACACTCCAATTTTATTGCGGAGCTGCTTTCTCAACAGATTGACGGATAAATTTATAGATTTGATAAAGTGCAATTTGCATCTTATTACAAAATTCGAACGAACCATATCGCTGCGAATCTACCTGAATCACGAAGATGCATGCGAAACCGAATCAGCCCCCAGACATAAAAATACCTGCATTTCATTCTTATTTCTATTTAAAATTACATAAAATATTTATTTTAATATCAGAAAATACAGTAAACTTTTGTACAAGGCGTAGCCGAGCAAAAAATAAAACATCAATGTCATTAAATGTAAAACGGCCCTTAGTAGTTAACATTTTGACATTTTGGGTGTTTTAAAAAGTCAAATTTGACGTTAAAGCCTGCTTTAGAGTGAATTTTTAGGAAGTGTCAAAATTTTGAAGTCTTATATTTTTGTCCGGCATGGTCTAAAATTTTTCTTACTGTACTCGATTAAAAAATTTAAAGAAAAAGTTTTTCCAAAGTCGATTTTAAATGATTGTTTTGGTAGTAACATCTACCGGAGGAGAAGTCGACTGTAATCTGCCGCCGATAAAGTCGCATGCTACTTTTCCATTGTCATCTGTCAAAGAAACGTCAATGAAAATGTCACTAACGTCATTAAAATCAACAATGTTTGTTTTTGTGGCTTTCGAGGTTTTTGGCTTGTCGTTTTTGCAGTTGGTAAAGACAGCGTGATACCTTATCGTTAGATTCACACTAACGATTTAAATTTTGAATGTTCTTTGGTGTATCACTTGTAATTAATATTTGTGAAAGTGCTGGTTAATGTAACACATATAAAAATAACGTGACCATGACTGCTCATGTGCATTGTTAACAATTAATTTCAAGTTCTAATTAAAGCGTGATTGGAAGAAATGGGTGACAGTTTAACCGAATGTATGGAGATTTTCTCCCAGGACGGGGTGCAACTTAAGACTGCACAGGCGTCTTTCGTCAACTATTTGAACCTTGTTGGAACTTTATACATAACAGAATATGCAAATTCGCATTGCAGGAGATGTCTTGAGTGGAAGCCAAATGATGTAACTGTTGATTCAGACGTCCAAGATCAAGAATGGGCTGTTGTTAATACTGTCCAGAAACGGTCGAGAACCTACAGTGAAAGCCTCCCACCAGATTCAACAATCAAGCCCAAACTCTTAAAAGTCAATTTCGACGATATTAAAAGTTTCAAAACTTCGAATAAGAATCGTCAATTGACTCTATTTGATGGCAAATCTGAAGTTATGTGTTGTTTTATGTTTCAACACGGGAATTGTGATTATTTAATCACTGTTTTAAGGGGCATGCTTAAAACGATACCTGCGAAAAGAGATAAGCATCTTTTTATTGTTATACATGATGATAGTCTTGAGGCAGCACAATTGGACAAGTCTTTTGCTGAGTTAAATATCTTTCAAGACCCTCCACCCACATTGTGGAAGCTTGTGAAAAGTTTTCATGATAGGCCTTATGAAACCACACTAGAGACTTTTGCCAAAGTCACCGATTTTGGTAAGTGGGGTGTGGAAAACGCAATTATTTTTAATTAATTTAATTGAAAATCCTGCATTGATAACATTGATTCCTCTCCTCGATGATTCATACTGCAAGTACAATGGTATTAAAGATAACGTGTCTTGTTTTTAATAATTATGAAACATCTAAACTTCTTTTATTACTTAGTGTTCAACTTTAGTGGATTTAAAAAATAAATTGCGCTCTACAATCTATTCTATAATTTTTCCAGCGCTAGATTAAACTTTTTTAAGGCAATAAATTGGTGGAAATAAACAATAATTTGATTGAATTTTTTTTATTTTGGATTCACTTCTGGGCTTGTTAACTCATAAAATTACGCGAAAACTTTCTTTGTTTTTTTTTGCTATTTTTAAAAGCTACAAAGCCTACTATCACTGGAAAAAATATAGTTAATTATGTACACATTTTTATTGGTTTATTTTCCAACACATCGCAAATATTTATTATTATGTTTTCTCAGTAAAAATATAGCAAAAAATATGCTTTACTTTGAAGATCTTGAATAAAATTCTTGTTATTCAATATGTCCCATCTTGGAAAAAGGAAAATTCAACACTTAAAAAATTAATACAACACTCACAAAACTAATTATTGATATATGAGACATTAAATTGATTTTTTTTTTAAATGTTTGTCTAAAGTAGAATAGATGGAAGATTTTAATCAACTCTTTTGTTTTATACTATGTAGGGTGACGTAAAATGTATTTTATTTATCTGTCTACAATCACAAAGGTCGGATAATCCTTATGTGGTTATAAAAAACGTTAAAAGAAACACAAATATGCTTTTTTTAATTTTTCTACGCTGCTTGGTTTTGAAAATTTGAATATTTAGAAGATAGCATAAATTGGCAACACTAGAATACATTTTGAACTACTTTGTGTCTACACTCAATAATTTAAAATATTTATTACAGAAAGGAACTAATTTTGATGTGCTGTTGCCGATTTTACCCCTTCCGGAAATTTATACATTTGAGGACAGTTTAAAATTTCGGGCAGTAGAATAAAGTCTATAACAACCTTTACATTAATAACCTCATTTTTTACTCTTGTCAGAGTTATGTCACTTTGACTTAACTATTTACTTTCAAAAATAGGGTTACCGACAGAAAAGTTAGTTGTCAAATGTCAGTCAAGATGACAGTAAAAAGTAGTTTAGAGTAAACTTTTTAAGGTGACAGAAAAATACTGCCCGAAATTTTAATTCCGCAACTGTACATACAATGAAAACGAGCCACCCTGAATATCTCAGAAACTAAAAAGACTGCAAAAAAACAAAATAGGTCAATTCTGTTTCCGAGGGGGACATTTTTTGGCCTAATTTTTAAAGAACGCCCAGTAACCCCCTAACTCCCATACACCTTTAAAAATTTAAATACCACTACCCTACTTGGGGCACATCAAATGAAAGTTATTTTAACAAGCTGTTCAAAACTTTTTACCAAAATTGAATCAGACCATCCATTCATGAGATACAGCGTGTTCTAATAAAAAGAAGTAGAAAGAATTTGCAAAAAAAAAAACGAAACAGGTTAATTTTGTTTTTGTAAAAGACATTTTTAACACAATTTTAAAAGCACCCTCACTAACCCTCTAACTTTTTCCACCTCAGTTTTGGAATTTCAAATGACACCGACTCACTTGCGACAGATCAACTGAAAGTGTTTTTAAAATGTTCTTTAAACCTCTTTTCTAAAGTTAAATGGAATTATCTATTCATAAGATATTCGCAAAAGATAATGTTCCTAATTAGTAATTACTTCTAATAAAAACTATTAAAAAAAAATACAAGAAATTTATTAATATTGTTATTATTAGTATATATAATATATAGTATATATAATATTGTTAGTATTATTGGAGCTGTAAGAAACGAAAAAGTTCCTTTGTACGTACTGACTGCTAAAAGATTAGTTTTTTTGCCGATATTTTATGAATGTATAGAAATCATTTCATTTTGGAAAAAAGCTTTTAAACCGCATTTTAAAATTGTTTTCATTTTTTGTATCACTAGTGGTTGGTGCTATTTCACATTTTAGAGTTAAGTGGCATAGAGGGTAAAGGGTTAGTGAAGGTGCTTTTAAAATTGCTTAAAAATGACCCTTTTAAAAACAAAATTAACCTGTTTCCGCGTTTTTGCAAAGTCTTTTTAGTTTCTGAAATATTCGGGGTGGCTCGTTTTTATTGGAACACCTTGTATACAATTTTTCAAAAATGTATTAAAAAGTTTTTAATTTCCCAGACTCTTGGCAAAATTTTGATCGCTGTTCGGCACTTTTAATTTTTTATCTTAAAAGAAATATTGTCCTGTGCACTTAACAACAAATGACCAATTTCGTGTATTAATTTCAATGTGAAAACTTTTTTCATGGTTGTAGAAAAATATGATTTCTGAAACTCGATCCATGAACGTTTTATTTCTTTTTTGTTCTAAAACTAGTTATAAAAATTACTGTTATTTTTTGATATATAAATATTATACAATAAAAAAGGATTTATAAGACAATGTGTACAACTACACAACGAGATCAAAAAGTTTTTCTATTAAGTAAGCGTAGACCTGACTTGACCCTCACTTGACTTAACACATCCTCATATTAGGATGTTTTGAAAAGTTTCATAGAATTATTCAACTTAATTAGATCAATATTAGCATTTTTACAAAACATTTTTTAACATTTAGTACGCCTACTCGACAGAAAGACTTTTTTATCACATTGTATTAATTTTTGTAAACAGCTAAAATCTGCAACTATAATGCATGTCATAATTATCAAATACTATTCTTTGTTTTAAAATGTTTTTTCTTTCATTGTTCTGTATAAATAATCCTCTGGGAAACATATCAACCAAAGTTGCTGTAATTTTCTTAATATTCCATTTTTATCCTGAGAAGAGTAACAAAGTTGCCTAAGTTTACAGAAGTCCAGATCAAAGAGATATCGACGACGATCAAAGAGAACTGTTGCATCGAAGTCTTACCGAGTATGCAAGTTCACATTCTCAAGGAGATTACGAAGTCATAGCCAAAGTTCCCGAACTCCCTGAACGAAAAGACTACCCCCGAGGGCGACCCTTGAGTGCCGAACAGTGGAAAAATCTTCAAAACCACGAAGGTAAAATCGAGGATGTTGAACAAATCAAACTTATGATATTCCGAGGAGTAAGTAATGCATTACATCATCACAACATAGGAAAATAATCTTGACATAAATACACAGGGAGTGGCGCCGAATTTGCGCTACGAAGTGTGGAAATATCTCCTGGATTACTTCCCCTGGGATAGCACCCAAGCCGAACGCCAGAAACTGCTATGCGAAAAAAACGACGAGTATTACAATATGAAACTTCAGTGGAAACGAATGACAAAAGTGCAAGAGGATAATTTCTCGGATTATCGCGAACGGAAAAATCTGATCGAAAAGGACGTCAATAGGACAGACCGGACGTTGGATTTTTACGCCGGAGATAACAATCCGAATTTGCAATTACTCTACGATATTCTTATGACTTACATCATGTACAACTTTGATCTAGGTTACGTTCAAGGCATGAGCGACTTGCTTTCGCCCATTTTGCACCTCCTCAAAAACGAAGTCGACGCCTTTTGGTGTTTCGTAGGATTTATGAATAAAATTGTAATAAATCTTCCCTCAACTATTTTTTTTTCTTGAAAGATGACATTTTCAGAGCTCTAATTTCGACATAGACCAAGCCGGGATGAAGGAACAGCTCCAAAACTTGCACACTTTGCTTGGTTTCATCGAACCTCAACTTGTTAATTACTTAGACAAACACGATTCTGGTAACATGTTCTTCTGTTTCCGGTGGCTGCTAGTTTGGTTTAAAAGAGAACTAAATTATGACGATGTGATGCGGTTATGGGAGGTCTTATGGACAGGGCTGCCGTGCGAGAACTTTCATTTGTTAATCTGCGTCGCAATTTTAGAAACGGAAAAACAAGAACTTATGGAAAATAATTACGGCTTCACTGAAATTCTGAAGGTTTGTTTATGTCGTTTGCTAACAGTGAGTGATTTGTTTGTTTTAGCACATTAATGACCTGTGTGGAAAACTAGACGTTTCAGCTATTTTAGTTAAAGCCGAAGGAATTTTTCACCAAATCAAAGAAGCCGAACATTTGACCGACAATATTCGGATGATTTTGGGACTTCCCCTTGTTGGTGTGCAACAATATCCCGAAGAAATTCTCAGTACAAGTCCTGATAGTCCAGATGAGGATCCCTACGAGCGGGTTTATGACTCAATGCAACACATTATGACTTGAGACAGAAATTGATAGTATTTGTACTTTTGTAGAAAAGCTAGATGTGTGCATATTTTTAATACGAAAGCTAATTTTTGTCTATTTAACTTGTTGCAAACTCAATTTAATTATTGTTTATATTTACAAGGTTGTTATTATGTAGAATACTTTATCAAGTCGGTGAATTTTACTGCTTTTAGAAGAGTTTCGGCAAAGTATAACTTTTATGACAAATAAATACTTTTTATGAAAATGTGTAACATTTTTTATGACAAAGAAAACGGCTGTGATCCCTCGGTTTTTCCATTGAGTTTATTGAAATTTTATTTATGTGGTGACAAGTATTTAATCAATTTTACTTCAGTTGATTTTAAATGTGCGGAAATGGTGTAACATCAGAAAACACTTAGTTTAAATTGTGGTGACACAAGTGCAAATTAGCAAGTTATGACTAAGCATAATAAAAAAGAACAATAAATAGTTCAGGAGGATCAGAGTATATACTAAATTCAGTTCTAAATTGGAAAGTTGTGTAAAATTGTGACTCTGCAAATTAATAAGAAATTAAAATTTATTATTTCACGCATCGAGGTAAAGAAACAAGTATAAAAAGCATAAAATTCGCAAAAAATAAGAAGACAATTAAACAACAACTAAAACAAATAAAAATCTAAACAATAACAACTCAAACTCGAAAATTTTTTTTCTTCTCTCATTGATTCATCTTTTCATTCTCTTACGTTTTTTATTGTTTCAATAAAATTTCGTTTTAATTTATTCCCGGTGCATCGGTTAGAAAAAACTATTCTAAACAACCATTAAGCCAATTTTATTTAATATTTCCATAATTTATTAAAACCACCTACACGTTTCTGCACACAAATTGGTAACCTTCAATTTATCTCATTATTAATTCATACTACGACAATGGATTTACATCATTGATCTTTGTTGCTTTTAAACAATTTTATTATTTCATTATCATTTTTATTGGGAATTCTATAAATAAAACTAGTGATTTACCCCAACAATAAACAAAATTTCCACGTTTTTAAATTTCGTCAAAGAGTGGTAATTGAAAACCTGAATAGTTATTTATGTTTCACAAAGTTTGTCGAAGCACCAAAAATAAATAATCTCTTAACCACATCTTGAGGTAACAAATATAATTAATGATGGACAGCAACATTGACCCAATAACTGAAAAAATACCAAATTGCCATTCATTGAATCGAAATAAGTAGACCGCAAATTTTATTTTTGCAGTCAAACAAAACTAAATTTCAAACACTAATTTTATGTAATTAGGATCTCTACTAGGAAGCTAATCGAGAAAAACTCAAATATGATGAGGTCTTCTGGGTTTACAGTGATCAACAGAAGTGGGGACCAGAAGGTCAGCTTGTTGCACATGGATTCATTCTTAAACAGATTATAGGTTGTGCTGTTGGTGCTGTGTAGTTTTAAGAGTGTTTTAGGAAAATTACGTCTTTGGACAATTTCTCATTTTGATAACATGTGCTAATCTTTTGTTGTAAATAAGTGATAATTAATTTTAAACGTTGAGTCAAGGTAAAATCTTCAACTTGGGACTTGATTACATTCGGTATTTTTCTACCAAAAACTAATTATATAACTAAATATTTAAACAGACTTACTAAACACTGAAAAGTTTGCGTTTTAAATTTTTATTTTACAAAAAAAAAATTAATAAATGTTTTCCCTTGAAAATTTATCAATTTCAATGAACCTTAACAGAAATAAATTAACATTCGGTCAATGATGTGTTTTATTGACAAATTTTGAATGATTGAAATATTCTTTTGTTTTTTTTTTTATTTTTCCGGTCAATGCAGCTTGATTAAAATCTGAGGGAATTTCCGGATTTTATAGTTTAATTTCTCAGTGAACAGCACATAATTATAATTAAAGATTTTATTATAACACCAGCTTAACGTTTTAATTTGCACAAAAATTTCCATGATTTAGGTACTAAAATCGGCGTTATTTGTAAAAAATTACTTCCTCAAAGCCATTTCTACATCCGCATCATGCAATTATATTTAATCCGAGCCCCGTTATATTATTGAACGAATCACAACAATAGGCATTTTTTATCATTGATTTCATTATTTCCATTTTTATTGCAGATGTGGCCTAAAAAAATTATTATTATATCAACACTTTTACCGTTTCTAAATGGCCAATTGTATTTTCCTGACGAAAAAACTGGTGGTTACGTCCAAATGCAGAAAGAGGGCCAATCTGAGGCGATTTTACCAACAAACTTAACCGAATTGAGAGGAACCACACTTTATGAACAATTCGTAGACAAAATCGTTTCCTCAGGGATTCTTAAACTCACTGTAGCAATGGAAAAAGCGCTAATTGCTTCGTCGCCAAACAATTACGAAAGTATTGTGTTTGCTCCTGTAAACATCGCTGGTATTTGAATTGTTTCACTTTCACGCAAAATTTTACAATTTTGATTTTAGGAGCCCTAGCTCTTGTGCTTTTGGGCTCCAATGGTAAGACTTTCGAGGAGATTTCGGCGATAATGGGGCTAGCGACGGGTGTGGACATCCATAATAAGTCTCAACTAGTCCATGAACAATTTGGGAGATTGCTAGAAAAATTGCAAACAACTTCAGGTTTTGATATCGGCCGTCAAGTGAATATTGCGAATGCTGTTTTTGTTCAAAATAATTACCCAATAAGGCAGATTTATAAAAACACAGCTGAGTCGGTGTACAAGAGTGAGGTTTTGAACGTCGATTTTGAAACAAATCCAAAGTCGGCCCAACAGGTCATAAATGCGTGGGTGTCGGAGCGGACGAAAGGAAAAATCACCCAGATTTTAAACGAAGTTCCTGATAGCTCAACTAAAGTGATTTTGGCCAGCGCTTTGTATTTTAAAGCAGAGTGGGAGAAACCGTTTTTCGACGGGAGCACCAAAAGGTTTGGTTTCGCATTTTCAGAATCTTTCATAATTTTTTCAAATTCCAGACGCCCGTTTTATACGGACGGTCGGGGGGCGAAAAGCGACGTTATGGTAGAAATGATGTCAAATGGGGGCTTGTTTCCTTACTACAAAGACCGGGATTTAAACTGTGAAATAATTGGGTTTCCCTACAAAGGCAATCAAACCACTATGTACGTTGTTATCCCCAATAACTCGGATAAAACGAAATTGAAAGAACTCGAAGACAAGTTGGATTTTAAACAAGTCGAGCGGCTTGTCAGCAGTGTCAAATACACCGGAGCTATCGTCATATTCCCAAAAATGCGAATTGATACAACTATTGATTTAAAAAAATCGCTCAAAATTTTGGGAATCTCAACACTCTTCAATCCTGCTGAGTCCAACCTCGCGCTACTTTCCCCCGGAAAAGGCACTCCGGACACGAATCCGGTTATCGGCAACTCGATACAAAACCCAATTTCGGTCAACACGACCGGAAACGATGTCATTATCTTCAACCGAAACGGCGAAATTGTCAATTGTACGCAGATTTTCAACCCGATGAGTAATGTCAGTACTTGCGAGCAAGTCGTTACGGATGCAACTACTCCTAAGAAAATTGTCTACAAGAAGTTTGGAAATAAAGTTGGGAGGAGGATCGATGGGGAGATAACTCCCCGAATCGCGGAAACTTTGGATAATGTTAGACAGTATTTAAACCGGCAAAATAACGCGGAGAGGTTTGAAAATCCTGGATTGTATGCTGACAATGTGATTCATAAGGTGTATATGGATATTACTGAAAGTGGGACTGAAGCGGCCGCTTCCACGTCGATTAGTTTGTCGAGGGACGGGGGAAGGGTTACAGTTAGGGCTGATGTACCATTTTTGTTTTTTATTATGCATGAGGAGACGAAGACCATGCTGTTTTGGGGATCGGTGAATACGCCCACACCGAATTTTAAATAATCTTGAGTTTGTGAGCACAAAAATATTTTTTACACGATTGTGATTTCATTTTTACCTATGTACCTATTTATTTTTGTGAATAAATTTGCATCATCACTAATATTAAAGATTTGTTTGATAATTCATTAACACATAGCTCAGAAAAATTTTACTTATACTAATATCATTTTGCTAAGACCTACTAAAAATTTTATTACTTTTAAGTTAAATGCGGTATTGTTAAGAGTAAACCAGAGGGTAAACAAATCATAAATTAGTGGAACCCACCCGGACCCTGAAACAGGTCAGTTTTTAACAGGGCCGGATTACTTACTTTCTTTTTGTCTAAAATACTTGAAATATTTTAATAGTTTTTGATGTAGTCAAGTATTTTAAGAAATTTAAAAAAGCCAGGTGGTTATTAACAAGTTATTATTAAATAAAGCAGATTTTTTTTTAATAATAGCTTGGTAAAACTCTACCACTACTTTGGTTTTAAATACGGCCCTGTTTTATTCTGGTGGGTGCAGCAACATTTGTAAAGGAACGTGCCATTTATGGAGGGTTACAAATTCAAGCCATCGTTTGGTTAATCTCTTATAATGTGTCATAAAATCTTTAGTAGGTCTTAAGAAAATGATTTTTCTATACCTGCGTTGCGTTAATCTAAGTGAACTGCGCTCGGGTGGGTCGATATGTCTCAGTGTGATATAAAGAATAAAATTATTAAAAATTAAATATCTAGGCTAATGTAATGTAATGTACAGGGTGCTGCATTTTGGATGTCCGAATAGGGAATCTCCGAAACTAAGAGGTTTAGCCAAAAACGAGTGATACATTCTGGGGCTCATTTTTTGAGTAAATAATATTGGTCAAAACCGCATCCCGCTATCGTCTTTTGTTTTCGACTTACAGACAAAAGTTGACATTTTGGCGAAATCTAAAAAAATTTATATCTTCGTTATTATAGAAGATACGGATTTGAAATAAAGACATTATACAGGCACTTTTTTACGAGGAATTTAATAATGTAGTTAACAATTTTTTTCAGTTATTAGTTTAGCCGTAATAAGATAAACTTGTATTTTTTTAAATGGAAATCATAGGCGGCTATGGCAATTTTGAAAAGCTTATTTTTTTCTGATCTAAAAAATATATATTTGTAACAAAATATTTTTTTTATAACTATACTTAAAAAGTGAAATATATATTTTGTGTGATAATAGTTGGCCATGGAAAAACTATTTCACTCCAAATGTGTAAATAATAATCAATAAGAGTTTTGTGAACTGTAAAATAGATGAAAAAATAGATAAAATTATAAAGATTTAAAAAATACGATACGGTAGAAGCATTAAACAAATATCCGAGCGCCTCAGAACAAAATTGTTAGATATTTTTAAAAAATCCAAAAATAGGAAAAACAAATGTGTCAACAGTCAACACAATTTGAAAAAACATTTTTTTGATGATCTAATGGAGGTAGAATAACGTTTCACATAGACGGAATTTGGGTATTTGAATAGCCATATCGTCATTTTTGTGTCATATAAAATATATTTTATTGAAGAATTAAAGCGGCTTTTTCTTACAACACTCTATGTATCACTAGAAGTTACAATGGTAATGATAGCTTGTTTAAAAACAAAGAAATGTTATTAGTCGCCAGTAAGTTGATTTACAATTTATTTTGCATCTTTTCCATTACTTAGTACTTAGAAAACTCTTTCATTAGTGACAGTGGTTGAATATAATATAGTTTAAATCCTTTTGGTTAAAGATGCAACATTTTTTCATGGCCAACTGCGAACAAAAATCAAAGATATTTTTTTACTAAAAATGTATTATAATAATTTGTTACAAATATATATTTTTTAGATAAGAAAAAAACAATCTATTTAAAAATGACACAGCCATCTATGATTCCCATTAAAAAAAATACAAGTTTATTTTATTACGGCTAAACAAACAACTGAAAAAAATTGTTAACTACATTATTAAATTCTACGTAAAAAAGTGCCTGTATAATGTCTTTATTTCAAATCTGTGTCTTCTATAACAACGAAGATATAAATTTTTTTAGATTTCGCTAAAATGTCAATTATTGTCTATAAGTCGAAAACAAAAGTCGATAGCGGGATGCGGTTTTGACAAATATTATTTTCTCAAAAAATGAGCCCCAGAATGTATTACTCGTTTTTGGCTAAACCTCTTAGTTTCGGAGATTCCCTATTCGGACATCCAAAATGCAGCACCCTGTACAATTACATAACAGTGTTTTAAAAAAATTTGGTCAAACTTATAAGATAGACATTTCACAAAAGTGGATCGATCTATTATTTGCTTCTCTTTCAATACTTTTTTTTAATTAAAACATATCTTTTAATACAGGGTATTTCAGAATTTGCATCCTAGAGATCAAGTGTCGGCGGCAATAGGTTATTAAAAAGTGCACCCAAAGAAGTGCTGCCTAAAAGTTTGAAGCACCAATCCATGGGTGGGTACCCCGTTGTATTGCTGCTGAGCGCAGTTCACCTTAAGGATTAGCGACCCTTATTAGCCTCATTAGGTATACCTGTTTCTAAAACTGAGCGCAATTCACACTACCCCTTTTTTTTCATCATCAAAACATACAACTTTTAATTACACCTTATTATTATTTTGTTAGAATTATTTTTTTTTTAGTTATTTTAATTTTTTAGTATAGGTATTACATACCGTGCAATCAAAAAACAATTAATAAATTAGAGTAGGCGACGATTAATATTTTACAGTTGGCAACACGTTGTCTGAGAATCTGGACTAGAAATTTTCCACACAAACTGAAAGTGAAAATGGCCATTCACCGTTTTCGTCTTGTACAGCAATAAACATTTTCCCCTCCAAAGTGAACATTATTTCACTCAAAATGAATGAAACGCAAACTTGTCAAAGTTTCCGCTGACATTTGATGTCAAAAATCAGAAGGACTTTAATCACCACCTACCTACTCTAATTTAATTTTGCTTTTTTGATCGCACGGTATAAAGTGATCCAGAATGAATGAATCTGTTGGCAATCCTGACTCTAATTTTTAAAAGTTACTATTGGAGTACGCGTTTGATTAACAATTCAACAATTTTGAGGGGTTGTACCTTAAGTATTTGTCAAGTAAAACCGTTTCTGGTTCCAATGTTGCAAATTATTAACAAAATTACATTCAAATCTGTTACCAACAGACAGTCTTTCTAGATCACATCGTACTTAAAAAATTCAATCTATTGCTGGGAGAATCTACAGTATGTCCCAGGATTGAGTTTACAAGAGGATTTTTTTCTTTGAGTTTACGCCAAAAATGCAAATGAAAAACATTTTTTGCTTCACCTCTGAAACGAGCATATCTGTAATTAAAACATTATTATTCTAATTCAGTGAAAAAAAAGTTAATCTTTCTCTTGATTTTCGATTTAGAATGATTTTTCTCTGCTTTTTAAGTCTTATCATATTGGCGGTTTTA